CCCACAGAGGTTTGTCCTTCCACGAGGGCTCCTGCTCTTCCTTCCCTTGCAGCTCTTGCACCTTGTCAAACTCATCAGAAACGGTTGTATTTCCAGCCTGTGATGCTCCTTTAATTTGTAATGAAACACCCCAGTACCAACCACCAGGTGCTGACAACATAAAAATCACACTTGCAACTAGTTAAAATGGAGAAAAGTTGACTCAACCTTTGTGTCAGGTGGACCACACTGAGCATGGAGAAAAGAAAGAAAAGCAAAGAATTGCCTGAGGATTTGAGAACCACAATAGTGGAAAAGCCTGGACAGTCTCAAGGCTCCAAGTCCATCTCCAGAGATTTGGCTGTTCCCGCTGCTGACACAGAGACATAAAGAAGTCAGACTTCTGGCCAAAACTTACCTGAGGAAGCCACAGTCCTTCTGGGAGAATGCCCTGTGGACAGATGAGACGAAAACAGAGCTGTTTGGTTGAGCACATCATTCTACTGTTTTCAGAAAATGAAATGAGGCCTTCAAAGAAAAGAACACGTCCCTACAATCAAACATGACGGAGGTTCAGTGTCAGAAAGTTGGGTCTCCGTCAGAGGTCATGGTCTCACAGTAGGACAATGACCCAAAGCAGACTTCAGAAAGCACCAGAAATGGTTTCAGACAACATGATGGAGAGTTGTGAAGTGACCAGCAATGAGTCCAGGTCTAAATCCCTTACAGCTCCTGTGGAGAGATTACAGAACAGCAGCTGGGAGAAGGAAGCCTTCAAATCTGAGAGACCTGGAGCAGCTGGCAGAAGAAGAGTGGTCCAACCCTCCAGTAGAAAGGTGGAAGAAACTCACTGATGGTTACAGGAAGTGACTGATTTCAGTCATTTTGTCCAAAGGGTGGGCTACCAAATATTAAGTTGAGGATGTAATTCTGTCCTGTCAATTTTTGGACCCTTGTCAGGATGAGTGGTATAGATAATGGATGGATGCTTGCTGCAATGCTGTAACCTTCTTTAAATCTATATAAAATTTCTAAACTTTTAAACTCTCTCTTTAATGAGTTATCTTTACTGTAGCTGAAATAATAATAATAGAGTGTTATAAACTAAGGAATGTTTAAAGGTGCATATGATGGTTATTTCACAAACAAAAATACAATTAGTATTTTGTAAATGTGGTTAACCCCTCAAGAGTAGTGATGACTGATTATTAGAATCAGATTGTTTACTTAATTTTCAAATAGACTCATGGTCATATGTGGTCAATGTCACAGCTTTTATGGGTTATTTAAGGCCAAACATAACATGTCCTTAAAGAGCCAGTGTATACTGGCTTCTAAAACTTTCTCAGTAGAGTAACATCTGAAGGTATAAGGAGGGTATACCATATACACTATATTTGACATTACATTGTCCATTTTATGATTTAAAAACAGATTCAAACTGATTTTGAACACTGCGTAGGTGGTGTTTTTGTCATTTCCTATATAGACTTGTTCTTTTTTTCTATTCTCGTAGCTACTAACTGGATTGGTCTTCGTAAGTTAAAGGAGCTGGATGTGTCTAATAACTGTCTGACCGGTCTGCCTACGGCAATCATGCACTGTTTGAGATCCCTGAGCTTCCTCGATGTGTGCACGAACAAACTGGGCAACTTTCCTGAGCCCTGGGCTTGTCCACTGGTAAGGACCCAGACTAATAACCTACCTCATGTGTTTTTTATTTTTTTTATTGGTTAATCAAAATGGAATATTTCAGTTGCTGTTGTCCATGTTTTGTTTGTGTAGAGCTCATTTGATGATATATAATTTATTTTATAGTTTTAATATAATTGTCTATTTTATTTGCAATTTATACAGTGACAAGAAAATAGTAAATGATCCACATGGAATTGCCTGCATTTATGTATGTTTTTGTCTTAAAATATGGTCACATCTTTGAGTTACGTCAACCACACTGTAGGTTGGAAAAAGTATGGCTAATGACATCAGCAGAAGCTAACTGGAGTCAGAGAGAGAGTGTTAAAAAAAAAAACCTGGAGTCCAGTGAATGACACAAGAATAGAGGTGTGAGTTAGTCTTCCTTTCATTGATTAAAAAAACACTCAGGCATTGAGATTGCTGTTCACTGCTGTTGTACGGTGCACAAAGATAGAAAAGATGATGCAAGGTGGAGGTAGCACCATATATGGGGCTCCTTTACTGCTCTGGTTTGGAGCTGTCCATCATTGAGAGGAAATTGAATTCCCAAGTTTGTTGAGGTGGCTGTCTTCCAGCTGAAACTTAGTGACCCTAGCATTAAAGTAAATTTACTACAGAATGACTTTGAACAAAGTCAGAGTCCAGACATTAACTCAGTAAAGATGCTGTGACCTCCAGAGAGCTGTTCATATCAGCTAACCAAAAAATATGTTGGATCTGAATCGGTTCTGTAAAGAATAGCTATTGCCTTCAACAAATCTACTGTATTAATTTTTTTCTCTGGGTTTTGGAGCCTTTATGACAGACTAACAGATTATTGGTTTTAGTCTTTTCATTTGAAGGAAATATTAAAAAAAAAAAACACCAGGCACATCTTAAAGTTTGAGAAGAATTTTTGTTAGTAGAATGCCAGTGCTTAAAGCCTTGATTGGACTAACAGCTGAAATTTTTTTTCATCATATTGAAGGAGTTTTTTTGTGTGTTTATTGGAACAAAATGTATAATAAAAAAATCATTCAATGGATTAAAATGACACTCGGCTATTCTTCCCCTCCTCCTCTGCAGAAGCAATGCAAAGCTTCCTCCAATATGATCGAGAGTCTTCCAAACACCATCTCCATCTTTTGGAGGACTGAGTTGCAGGAGGTGGACTTCTCTGACAACAGCCTGAAGGAACTGCCCTCATATATCTTTGAGCTCGAGGTGATCATCAACTGAATTTCTTATTTTACATCTGTAGGTGCACTAGGCTGGAGTGCAAGTAAAAGTTTATCACTTATAATTATTGTCATTATTATTATTATTATTAATACACCCAGTGTAGACTCTTCTGTGAGTGTGTGTGTGTGCGTTGAATATGTCAGTGACGGAAACCTAACTGGGTGTGTGATTAGTTACAGAGCCTCCAGTTGGCACTGCTGCTGTGTCAGTGGTCCCCATGTTTGGTTAATAGATAGTGCATTCCTGTTCTGCAGCACAGAAGCTGAAACAAGCCATTTCCAACAAGTTAATGTAGAAAAGAGAGGTTGCTGAATATGTGTTTGGAACACTCATATGAACAAATCCCACAGAAAAACATTGCCCAATGTCCAATTGGACAATAAAGCCATTCAGCGATGTGAGATTAAAGGAAACCATCTTGCATCCAAAGCAGTTGGCTTTAGTGCCCCATGCTTGTAGTCTAGCCTCAACTATACAGTGGGTACAGAAAGTATTCAGACCCCCTTAAATTTTTCACTCTTTGTTATATTGCAGCCATATGCTAAAATCATTTAAGTTCATTTTTTTCCTCATTAATGTACACACAGCACCCCATATTGACAGAAAAACACAGAATTTGACATTTTTGCAGATTTATTAAAAAAGAAAAACTGAAATATCACATGGTCATAAGTATTCAGACCCTTTGCTCAGTATTTAGTAGAAGCACCCTGTTGAGCTAATACAGCCATGAGTCTTTTTAGGAATGATGCAACAAGTTTTTCACACCTGCATTTGGGGATACTCTGCCATTCCTCCTTGCAGATCCTCTCCAGTTCTGTCAGGTTGGATGGTCAACGTTGGTGGACAGCCATTTTCAGGTCTCTCCAGAGATGCTCAATTGGGTTTAAGTCAGGGCTCTGGCGGGGCCATTCAAGAACAGTCA